ACCGTGTAAATTTACTTTAAATTAAATCAGATCTTTATCAAAGAGGCTAGAATTGGTGTTAAAAATTGCTCATTTCCCCCACCCCCCCATAACCTCTGCTCTTCCACCACCATTGCTACCCTGCTTGGAAAGCAACGCAAGCAGTCACTGTCGCATCCTTGCTGTTCCAGCTCACACAGCTATCCCACTAGGGCTTGTTTTAATGGCTTAAAGCAAAGAAAGGGGATTTGTATACAGGGAGGCAAGTGGAATCACCATCTCTGTCACAAAGCATTCCCTTTGTAGGCCTGCCATCTGAATTAAAACAAAACCAAAAGAAAAATCTGAACGAAGTTTTTCCTGCAGCTACTGATGTTAAAATCTAACCCCAGCTGATTTATAAAGGTAACAGAGCACAGCGGTGGTGGTGGTGCATGAATGCTGTCTTAAAGCCACCAGGATCAGCAGCGCATGTATTGCAATGAGTTACTCACAAAACCATGTTTTTATAGCTAAATATCAAAAACTTTCACTGTTAATCTCAACGGTTCATCGTCAGTTTAGGTTAAGCTAAGACTACAGAGCTATTAAGAGAAACGGTGCCTCCTGCCCAGCGCCAGCGCTCACAGCGTACCCACCCCTGGAGAGCCCAGCATCCCTGCTCCCCTAACCACCACCCAGATGTGAGCCAGATGTGCCACCGCTGCATGACCGAGAGCCACCACTGCCCTGCCTGCCACCCACCACGCAATTACCTAAAAAAGATGGTCTGCAGAGAGGTTTCTGCTTCAGGTAATCTATGAATTGTCTTCTGAGCTTTGTACAACAGGCAGCATCATGGTTAACGATGGTGATTTAATAAGTGAAAAAATGAGTGTTTGGCATACCTTCCTCTGGGCAAGCAGTGGCAAAGGCAGTTGTACGTCAGCGCACCACTGCCGAGCAGTGCTTTGCGGGGAGGCAGGACACTCAGTGCTCAGATTCAGTTTGTCACATGCTTCATTTTTGCCTCGACACCTAGCCTAATTACACGTCTACAAAGGATAACCATCCATACCTCTCTATTACCACAATACAAGGGCTGCAAACAAATTCCAGATATAATAGTGCTGATTCAAGACCAGGAAGGGTAAGCAGCAAAGTATGACACACATGAATTTCAGCAGTGTTTTCGTATCTGAGGTCTGATGGTTGAGGAAGCAGGACTATACGCTGGTTTGTTGCAGGAAGGAGTCTCCCATGGCGAGCCTGTAGCTCACCAAAGCACGGGGGCTGCATATCATCCATCGTTCAACAAGAACCTGAATCATCCATCCAGGGTTCAACAAGAACCTGAATCAGAATAAAGGCGGCTGCACTCCCCCTCCTGCGCAGCTTGCCGTGCCATGCTGCTCCCACCCTGACGTCCCTCCCCGCTGCCAGGCTGCAGCCATGGCGGCCCCGCGCTCCCCTCAGTGCCCACGGAGAGGGGAAGGCTGGCTCCTGCACTCACCCTGGTACAAGAGGAATTAAAATGGGCAACCAGGGCCAGGTGCAGAGAGCTGCCAGACAGGGAGGTGACAGTCACCACGCTACAGCACAACACGCGTTGCTCCCAGGAAGACAATGACACCCGGCCTATGGTGCCCTGTCCCATCCCTCCCGAAGGACCTCTGCGGCTAGCCTGAAGAGCTGGACACGTCTGTTAATGATGCACTGCCTTGGACAGGCCTTTTTCTTGTGTGTCCACTTCTTGGGGCTCACCGCTAACCCAGCTCCATGGTAGCGCATCCAAGTGATAGCACGTGCACGGTAACGCTACAGCCACATGTCTGTGCTCATCTCCTTTGCCTCGCAGTCTCACTGACGCAGCACAAAGGCTATCTTTTAGCAAAAAAGCAGCATATACTCCCGTGATCCCCAATGTGCTAACATCCAGCAAAAATTAACGCAATCACTTCTTCAGGCAGAAGGGTGAGCTGTCTGTTTGCATGGTGCCACACACACGACTGCAAATCCCGGGTGCCCCAGCCTCGCCCGCAACTCCAGGGCCTGCCATCCTCCAAGCCCACAGCACAAGTCACGCAGCCCACATCTACATCAAGTAAAATCAGCTTATTTGTTGTTCTTAATACACTAGGAAGGCTTCCACAAGATGTCAGCCTAACTAAATGACAACGCTAGCCTCAGGGTGCAATTCTACTTTTCCAGCACGCACGTTTAGCAGGAAAACCAGTTCTTTGGCTGCTCACGGAGTGGGGTAAGGGAGAAGCCCCCAAGAGGGTTATTTGGTCCTAGCAAGCTTATTCCCGAGGCGGACATGCCATCTTCCCTCTCCATGTCGCATGTGACGATTTGGGTCATTAGTTCGAAGCGCTCTTTCTGGCAAAAGTCCCCAGATGGCACTCGTACGTGGCTTTCCTCAGCACGCAAGTGAGTTTTCAGTCTCGGGAGAAAGACAAGAGCGTGAGTTTTGCGGACAGCTGGGGTTTATTCCCAGCCTGTTACACCTCAACACCCCAAGCAGCTCTCGAGGAACAACATGAATATTACTGCAGAGTTCCAGACTTAAGGGAATCAGATGCACGTTTTTGGTAATATCTGTTATTTCATGGCAAGTGCACGTAAAAACATGTTTTGCTAAGAAAAGCACCCATAAAGTTCGTGTTAACAGTTTCCCAAACAGGAAACTCACTGGCAAGGTGCTAAATAGCCCTTGTTTGGTTACGGGCCAAAGAATGGAGAGCTTTAGAAAGGAAGCAACTTACCGTGTTTGAACATTAACTCTTAACTCTGTGCCAAATTACACAATGTTAATCTTATCTTACAGATACTCATGCAAAAAAGCAAAATGTTTCCAAAAGATACCTAATTTCAGCCTCCTGGTAATAGCGAAAAGAGCTAGCACAGGAGAGGAGTAACATTTGACCTTATAGCCGTTGTCATTTTGTTAATTGCACCCTTTGGAACGTTGTTTTTAAATGTTATGTTATCATATTTAAATGTTGTTAAAATTCAAATCAACACTTCAAATCAGGATTTTGCACCAGATGAGCCGCTATGAGAAGCGCAACCACAGGTACTTCAGCGCAGTGGTTCCATCAGACAGCTGGCAACTGACAGCTAAGGCTGGATTTCAGCTTCTGTACTTTTTGTACAGTGAACATTAAACATGAAGAAACTCTTTAAATAGGTTTATGTAATTTCTTGGCATGTATTTCTTTCACTCTAGAGCAAAATATTTACTGTGGCAGAGCAATTTAAGAAGTTTACCTAGCATTTCCTAATTTGCTTTATTATTTTTTACTTTCCTGATGGGTTGGGGATGGATTTTTTCTGTTTTGCTTTGGGTTTTTGGGTGGGTTTGAGGTTTTGTTTGTTTTTAAGGAGTTCACCTTCTCCATCCCCTTTACTTTCCACGTAGCACTTCCCTCAGCCTGCTCTGGACAGGACAGCCCACCACAAAAGAAGTACCGCAGTCAGTATTACAATTACACCACAGGACAGCGAAGGGAGCGGCTGGCAGACAACAGCAAGTCTTAGTTTAAATAAGTACCTCTAAGAAACCAAAGCTTAATAACAAAGGTAAACAGCCATTTTATTTTAAAAGCTTCTTTTGACACAATCCTTCACCTTCCTCAAGCAGCATGGGAAGTTTGTTATTCTCACCTCATCCCATATCTTGAGGTCGTAAGCGATACCTCGCCACTACAGAGCAAACATTTTCAAGTGTTTTCTACTGTATTATTGCTCTATATCTCGAGGTGAAAATAAAAGAAACTTACTCAAGCTGCTTGGAGAAGGAAGCTAACACCCCCTTGGCCTCATCCACATGAAGTCAAGGCCAGAGCAGCTGCTCCAAAGGCTTTCCTGCACATCCACACAAAAATCCTAAAACCCTAAAAAAAAAATTTAAATCAAGTCTGTTCATTTACCTTTCAGTACCAGCTAACCCGGAGGAGAGTATGCTCCAGATAAAAGGGCAATGAACTTTTAAAGCAAGCAGCCATGACAGGACATTTGCCTCCTCCACGCTGTCTCTGCACGCTCCGGCCAGAGGCCAGCTCAGCTGTAACAGCACAGGCAGCTTTGCATTTGCAGAAACGGTGAACCTGCAAATTTCTGCAACTCTAACACACACAGGATAACTGTTATGGACCTACCCTGCAGCAAGATGCTAAGGGCAGTAACGTCCCCCCTTTCACGGGGGGCACAGAACACCAGAATGTGATCGGTGACTGCAAGGAAGCCCTCAAACTGCTCTGAGCCCTGATGGTAAATGCCAACCTCATGACTTCTCCTGCACTCCAGTCCCTGGGAAAAAGTGAGTACAAAAGCCACTGTTTGAGGGGGAAGGAAAAAAAAAAAAAAAACCCACAAAAAAAGCCAACAGATTTCATAACTGCATGCTGTCAAGCTGGATTCCAATTAAATTTTTCCTGTGCCCTAACACAAGCTTTGCTTTTTCCAGAAATTTCTCATCGCTTGAAACATTCGCTCCTGTCCTTTGCTCCCGGGCTGCGTGCTGTACTTTGACACACCACCTTCATCTAAATGACTGTTCTCTCCCTTAACCACTTTTGCAGGGACCACGGTCGCACACAGTTGTTATGTGTAGCTGTGAGCTGCCAAATCCCTCTCACCTCTGCAAAAAGCTGGTGCTAACCAGCATCCTCTGTTCAAACTGTGACTACTTCCCATCTAAAAGTTCCTTTTATGTGGCGATATTTAACAGAAAACAGGCAGCAGCTAGCACTAAGGCACTTCCAACCGCAGCTCTGCGCTGCTTTTAACACCAGCGGAATACAGCCAGCGCAGATGTAGGAGGGGGAAGCGGGGTGGCGCAAGTCTTTCCTACTCCCTCTGTCGTGGGGACGAAGGACTCCTACCGTTGATTTTTTCCCCCTCTATCAGTGGTCTTTAACACGATCACAGTATGCACCACAATGCTTTAAAACAGCAAAGCTTCTGGAAAACCCAAACAAAAGGCACGTCACCAGGTGACGTCAGCCTATATACAGCCCTGTGTGGTCGCAGCGCATAAGCAAATCCATTCTTGTACCGCTTCCCTGAAAAGCTTTTCAGTAAATGCACTCATGCTACTACAGGAGCTTCTCTCAGCAATAAGCCACCCATCTGCCATCAACAAGTTAGGACTAAAGGAAGCCACAGCTGCGGAAAAAGAGAACGTGAGCTTCAATTAAACAGCTGAGCAGCCACAGAGGATGAAAACTTGTATTAAGCCTTGATTTAAAAATTGCAGACCTGTCAGAGGAGATCAAGCCAGTGATTTCAAAAGGAATATTCCAAGAGAGCATCGTGGATTCAATTTTGCACTAATATTAAAGGACACTAAACCCAGTAAATTATTCAAAGGCTGTCTTACATTAGAGCCTTTTACAGACTCACCGCGTTGAGTCTAAAACTACGACTGAATGCAACCTCCAATGTACTCAAAAGAATGGGTAAGTTCCTACATTTCTATATACCTTGTATAATGAATGACCGGCTATGCTTTAAAGGAGCAGTTAGGTGCTAAAGCAAATTTTTCTGCACTGAACCTTATGAAAAAAAAAAAAAAAATTGTTTTCTGGTTGTGACACTGTAATCCTCCGTAATAGAGATAAAGACTCATCCTAAGTGTAATATCCAAGTATTCTGTGTTTCGTAGTAAGTTGTTTCTTGCATTTAGAATTAGCTTGTCAGAAATGCATGGCAATGTTATCTGCAGTGAAATCTTCCATCGTGATGTTCAAAGTATACTGATAAGGCTATCCTATCTTGTTGTTTTCCTAAATTATATTCTGCAGGCTTACATTTCAAGTGGCCATTAGGGGCTCGTATGCTGGCAGCACTATATGCAATGAGTATGGTTTTAAAAATGCTGCCTGCCTTGGGCATGGCTTGTCCACCAAAATGTCGCTGTGAGAAGCTGCTCTTTTACTGTGACTCTCAGGGGTTTCACTCAGTGCCAAACACCACTGAAAAGGGCTCGCTAGGTTTGTCACTGAGGCACAATTATATTTCTGAACTTGAAAGGGATCAATTTGCAAGCTTCAGTCAACTTACTTGGCTTCACTTAGATCATAATCAAATTGCAACAGTCAGAGAAGACTCTTTTCAAGGACTGTATAAACTTAAGGAATTAGTCTTAAGTTCCAACAAAATCTTTCATTTGCCAAACACAACTTTTAGCCAGCTGCTTAACCTGCAGAATTTGGACCTCTCTTTTAATCAGTTATCCTCTCTGCACCCCGAGCTCTTCTACGGCCTTCGCAAGCTACAGACCTTGCACTTGCGATCCAACTCCCTGCGGACCATCCCGGTCCGCCTGTTTTGGGACTGTCGTAGCCTGGAGTTCCTGGATTTGAGCACAAACCGCTTGCGAAGTTTGGCTCGCAACGGATTTGCGGGATTAATCAAGCTGAGGGAGCTTCACCTAGAGCACAACCAGCTGACAAAGATTAATTTTGCTCACTTCCTCCGGCTAAGCAGCCTGCACACGCTCTTCTTGCAGTGGAACAAAATTAGCAACTTGACATGTGGGATGGAGTGGACCTGGGGCACCTTAGAAAAGCTCGATTTGACGGGAAACGAAATCAAAGCCATCGACCTTACCGTCTTTGAAACTATGCCTAACCTTAAAACCCTCCTAATGGATAACAACAAGCTCACCACTCTGGATTCCAAGATCCTAAGTTCGCTGACATCCCTCACCACCGTGGGCCTCTCCGGCAATCTGTGGGAATGCAGCCCAAAGATCTGCGCCTTGGCCACATGGTTGAGTGGCTTCCAAGGTCGGAGGGAGCACTCCATCCTCTGCCACAGCCCCGACCACACCCAGGGAGAGGATATTCTGGATGCAGTGTATGGTTTTCAGCTTTGCTGGAATTTATCGACTGTTGTTACGTCCGTGGCTACGACGTACACAGTTCCGACTACTGAGTACACGAAAAGAATAAGCTCTTCTCATTTCCATATGGGAGACAAAGAGATTCCAACTACGGCAGGCATGGTCGTTACCACTGAAGAACATTTTCCCGAGCCAAACAATGCCATCTTCACTCAGAGGGTAATTACAGGAACAATGGCTTTATTGTTTTCTTTCTTTTTTATCATTTTTATAGTGTTCATCTCCAGGAAGTGCTGCCCTCCCACACTAAGAAGAATTAGGCAGTGCTCAATGATTCAAAACCACAGGCAGCTCCGATCCCAAACACGGCTGCATATGGCAAACATGTCAGACCAAGGACCCTATAACGAATACGAACCCACCCACGAAGGACCCTTCATCATCATTAATGGCTACGGACAGTGCAAGTGTCAGCAGCTGCCGTATAAAGAATGTGAAGTATAATACCTACATGCCATCAAAAATTAAATCAGATAAGTAACCTATTTTAAAATTGTAGGGGACCTACATCAGATTCTAATTTTTACAAATGTTGACATAAAGCCTAATTTTCCAAGCTACTTAATGGAAACATTGTTTATGGAGTGGTGCAGTATTTTTAAGTTTTTTAAAAAAATAAATCCATAATATTTTCAGTGTTAAAGAAGCAATGATTACATTAAACTTGCACTCCTAATGTTTAAAAGTCTAAAAAGATGCTCACCTCAAACTATGTAAAATGTGTCATGTTATGTAATTATATGACTGTGTGTGAACATTTATACCCAAGTCTCCATATTCTACTTTTTCTAATGAAAGCAGTCCGAGGGGAAGGATACTGGGTATCTGTACAGAGATCTGTGGGGGGACATACGCTCCGTTTGTTCCACTGCAGCTGTAGGATCCCAAACGCTCCAGCTGGCTCTGTTCACTTTAAAGGCAGCCGTGGAGGAAGATTTTCCTCCTCTGATAATTTCACTCCAGTTAAAAAGGGGAGGGGAAACAAAACAAAAAAAAAAAAAAAAAAAAAAAGGACAACGAAGGTCCAGGTGGGGATGTAAGTGCATTGGGGACCGGTCATTTTAAATAGTTTTCCTATCTGCATTCATAGTTTGGCTTGCTTATACAGACCCTGCTAAGCTCACAACTGATACAGAAAGGAGCAGTTCACGCAGTCACAAATTAGCAGGATGATCACAAATTAGCAGGACAACTCTCCAGGCACTTACAAAGTAGGCAGCGTAGCTTCTTTAGGAAGGCTCAGTACGATGGGATCGATTCTAAATATTAAGTGCATTCAATTCTTATCAGCTCTCTGGTTTGACTTGATGATGCTTTTCATGAATTCAGGCTAATTACTTACGACTATGAACAAACAGCATTTCAACACCTTTTCATGTGTAAATACCCTTAATGCAAGTTTTTCTTAATTAAAAGTAAATACCAACCGGGAGGTTAAGGAGAAAGGAAGGAAGGAAGGAAGAAGCCTCTCTTTGTCCCCCCCGCTGCCCCCCCAGCCAAGGCTTCCTCTCGCCTGGAAGCTATTTTCATGCACTAACTCCACTGGTTTCTCTGGAGACAGAATTAGCCCCTGTAATATAAGCTCTCACTTGTGCTCCTCTTCCAAAATTCAAGGTAATTACCAGTTCAAAAAAAAAAAAAAAGTACTTTCTGATGAGTTAGAAAAATATAATTAGTTTATAGAATAGTTCACTGAAAAATGTTTCGTTTCTTACTTGATATGAGACAGAATCTGAACTAGTATGCCATTTAAAATAAAATCATATATAAATATACATACACACACACACCTCATTCTTAAGGAGTAATTTGATTTCTTTAGCCAGAAGTACCATACTGCTATTTATACTATATTATGAAATTATATGTAAATATTTGCAGATCTATGCAGCAACGGTGGTACTCAGATGCCACGGGGGCGGGGGGTGGGGGGGTCTGCAAAGGATTACATTATTTTTAAGTCAACTGCTCAAATATTGTAAACATTCTAACCAAAGCTAAAAGGACCAGAGGGATGGAAATTTTTTTATATATATATACATGTATGTATAACTAAAAAATGTGTTGTGTCCAATGCTGCAGTGTTAAACAATTACCAGCACACACCGACGAAGAAATTCCTCACAGTGTTGACATACCTTGAACAAATCAGTAATTACAGTATGCTAATTGTGTTGTACTAAACTATTCCGCAAACTTTTTAAACAGAAAAATCACTGCATAAAAATCTGTTTGCTATTTCACTCTGCTTTTATATATCTGTATTACCACTTAGTGAGGTATTTAGGGTGCAATTATACAACAGTTTGATGTTTTATTGTGAAATGAATTCGTCCAAGGCAATTATAGCAAGATAAGTGTGACTTCTGTTAAGATTTTACATAAAGATTTTTCAGTTACTGGTTTTGAAGATATTGATTTGCATCATTTTACTTTTACATACAGTGCCCTTATTATAAAACAAATATCTTGTTTACTTCCTGTGACTCTGTACTTTAACAGAAGAGATTCAGTGAATTCTAATGGTTTTCCATAGAGATACCTTTGAACCCTCGTAACTCTTTATACTACGGTGAGCCGATTTACACCTATTCTAGGAAATCAATTACTGCTTTTAACTGAATACAAAAAATCCTGCAGGGCAGGTGGACAACGAGCAAACATTCTGTATGATTAAATCCCATGTGAGCCAGAAGGCCAGACCTAAGCTGATAAATACAAAAATGTATTGGTATCCAAGGGTATTTAGCTGCTTGTAGAAAGACTTGCTTCATTCCTTACCCCAAGTAAGTGCTCACTGCTCTTCCCTTACCTCCAGGCTTTTGCTCTGCTCTGGGCAGGCGAGCATGCATTGCTGCCTCAGCAACAACCTGCCCCTGCCTGCGCACCTCCCTTACCTTGTGTTAACCCACACCATGGTCTGCACCGGGGGAAAGTGGAAAGCAGACACTTTCGTGAATGATTTTCATGTACAGCTGTAGGGTACCAGCAGAGACAAAGTTATAACTGAACTCATTAATTATACTGGCAGCCAAATAATCTTGCTACACTATCATCAACCATCAGATGTCAATACTGAACTCTGGTGTCCTCAGCTGCATTTGCAAGAAGGAATTCCACCTTCCTCCTCCACACCCAGCAGAAACCCTTGCTGCAAGATGGTTCAAAAGGCACCACGTCAGTCTTCCACACAGTAACGAGAAGTGGCTGCTAGACTGAAGTGCTGAGGTTCCTCCCGAGGAGATGCTTTCCCAACACCCCAGCTCTGCGCAGAAGCCCACTCCATCTTTATTAGCGTATAACGACGCCCAAGAAGAGTAAAGACCGATGTTCCAGCAATGCTGGATTTAATCCTCTTCTCCGCCCCAGCCACTCATACCAATTTCCAAGCACTGAAGCACTGTTCCAGTGTCTCTCAAAGCAATCACACCCAGGTGCCCAACTTCTCTCCCCACCAGTATCCCCAGTTCCCACTGTTCCTGCAGTGCTGCCTTGGCTTGCAGACAGCAAAGCAGGAAGCCAGCAGGCGCAGCCTAGCACGGCACTGTTCAATTTTACTTTGACTCTCTGTACTACACACTAATACGCAGCCAATCTCCCAAATGCCGTGGTTTATGTCTGCCATTTCCAAAACCATTTGTTGCCAGGTTCCAGGCATAAGCGAAGCAATTCCGCAAACATTACATTTAGGGTAACAGGTATCATAAAACTCGCAGAATGTCAAACACTAGCAGTGAAGTCAACTTGAATTCCCTTAGGAGGGACAGCAAACGGCAGGCAAAGCCATCGCTCTACACAAGGACACGCTCAGAGGCTGTTAATTTTTTTTTTTTTTTTTAACAAGTCACTGTCTTCCATTCTCAATTGCTTGTGACTCTTCCAGGCAAGGAGGGTATTGTAATAATTGCATTACTCAGCAGTCTCTGATTTATTTTGTTTATGGAACAAGAACCGCAATTTGGTTTAAATTCATTGTATTTCAGTATGAGCACTGGCTGACGACAAGAGGTTGTTAACTTGCTCTCCCCAGATATTACCTCTGCTGCACAGCCTCAGTTTCTACAGATACTAAATGGCATTATAGGTGCTTTACCACCTCTAGGCACAGCCTCATGCAGGTGTTCAGGGCCTTTTAGAAATGAAAATTTCTTCTACCGCTACCGAGATCCTCGTCCCATCCAGAGATCTCCTCCAGCCTCACCGATCTCCAGCCAGCTTTTCCTCCTCCCCACCCTCCTGTCAGTGAAACGCAAACGTAGCAGCACAAGTTCAATTTTTGAGTCATCATACTGGAACAGGTCTGAATTAATGCTTTCTGCTCCCCTCTCGTTAGTCGCTCTGCATTAGATCATCGTTTAAATGCACACAACTAAAAATTACCCGATAAAGAGTAAAATGGGTTAGCATTTAGTCTCCAGCTGAAGTGTTCCTCTGCACAGAGCTCCCATTTCCTATCAGATGGAAACATAATTAATGCCGCTGTATCAATGTTTGTTTTTGTTTGCTTTTCCCCCAAGCAGAAATTATCTGATTTTTCAGCGATAAGCCTAGACCGCATGCAAATCTAAGCATCTGAGCTTATGGCCCATTACCCCCCCCCCTTAAAAGACAGTGGCCTATTGCCAACATGTAAAATCAGAAATATCCAGTGGCTATAAACCAGAAATCTACAGTACACTATTTTTTAATGTGTCTAAGTTAATTTCTGTACTATTTTAATGAAAATAAAGTTGATTTAATTTTGTGATCTGCATAGCTATCAAAATCCATCTGTTCAGACCTACGAAACCTACCCAGAAGCTGAATTTCATCTCTCTTATGAAGTTTTCCATAGAAATTAAAAGTTCAGAGACTGAAACAGTATTTCTCATCCCCTCAAGAAAGGAACAAGCAAGGAAACAACAAAAATCAAGAGCAGTTGCACAGCAGCAGCTCCTCCCTCCCCACGCCTTTCTCCATCGCAGAGTCCCGTACGCTAGAACTGGTGCCAGGCTTTGCTTTTTTAGCCATCAGGCTAGCAGGATGCTTAAAGATCATTTCAGAGTCATCTGGAAATTCAGCATTTCACATCTTGTGTAAAAACCTTTTGAGAGATATCTAGGGAAAGGTAATAGAAGCTTTGATGGATATCATTAAGCCTCAGACAGGACAAAGCTTGTGCTATTAAGGGTAAAGCACCATGCAGCTTGTGCACCTCTGGTGTAAGCAATGAAAAGCTGTACCTGCTATCCTTCAACCAGTCCTTTGTAAAAAAACCAAACAAGACCCACCCCATTTTTCTTTTTACCATCATGAAAACATTAGTGAGTGAACTATTCTACCAGCTTAGCAACCAGAGATTAAAAAGAAGGAGTCTTAGATGCATTGTATTTAAATTATGTTTAAAGAGCCACTTTCTGGTGGGAGGGGGTGTAAGTAATGGAGTAAAACAAAGTGCAGTGTACAGAAAAATTTCGTTATTAAAATTGTGTATACTGTAAAACTGAATTTGCCTCTTTCTTCCTCCCTTTTCAAACAGAGGTGTCAAAAGCTCATTCTTTCACAATACATAAAGACCCATCTACATCCTCTGCAGTTTAAGAGCGCATCAGCGCTATCCAAAGCAGACAAGTCAGGTTTGGGCCAGTCCATTTGCCATAA